ACTAGCAGGAACAACAGTACAAATATGTCAAACCCTAATCTGGTGTACCCCTTATGGTGTGACCCACTACAGCCTAGAACCACACAAACATATAAATGTTTGACATAGGCTGTAGGCTGTAGTGGGGTAGCCCATATGGGGTACAGCCCAATGTTTGGGTTTCTATTTGTACCCAACTTCCTCATAGTTCATTCATTCCTGCCTAGTTTTTCAGAAATGGTTTCAGGGCAGTATGTCCGTAGGACCGTCTTTTTTTTCGGGCCCCCGCCTACCACTACCCCACGACTGTGACTGTGACGTGCTGCGCTGCGCGCACCGTGTGTCTTCTGTCTGAGCTGTCTACAACTGCTTCGCGCGCAGACCTAATCAGCGCGCGCTACTCGCTGTTGCCCCGCGTGTCGCCCTCGCTGCTCGCGCCGCGCCTCGGCAGCCCGCGCGCGGCTCGCTGCTGCCCCGCGCGCCGCCCTAGCTGCTTGCGCCGCGCCTCAGCAGGTCGCGCGTGGCCTGCTGCTGCCCCGCGCACCGCCTGCGCAGCTTGTGCCGAGCCTCGACAGCCCGCGCGCGGCCCGTTGCTGCCCCGCGCACCGCCTGCGCTGCTCGCGCCTTGGCAGCCCGCGCGCGGCCTGCTGCAGCCCCGCGCGCCGCCCTACTTGCTCGCGCCGCGCCTCCGCAGCCTGCGCGTGGCTCGCTGCTGCCCCTACCACTCTTACTGTCGACGACTTCAAGCAGGAGCTCCTAGCAGCAGAAAAGAGCATTCTAGCTGTAGGCACTGCTCATGGCACTCCACAAGCTCCCCTCTTTGAGGGTTGCTCCCCCTCCCCTCTTGCCCCCTCCTACGCCTCTGCTGAGCAGGTCGCAGCTGCTTCCACTCCTAGTGCGAAACACCGCAACACCAGGGGCGGCAAGGGAGGCAGGGGTGGTGGAGGTGGCGGTGGAGGAGGCGATGGAGGAGGCGGTGGTGGAGGCGGAGGTGGTGGGGGTGGTCGTGGGGGTGGAGGTAGTGGGTGGGGCGGCGGTGGTACTGGGAGCGGTGGAGGTGGCAGCGATGGTAGTGGGGGAGGAGGGAGTAGTGGTGGAGGTGGTGGTGGGGACGGGAGTGGAGCCGGCCAAAAGGGGGGCTCCAGTGGTGGCTAGGGGCAGCACCAGCAGCAGCCTCAGTAGCAGCAACAGCAGCGTCAGCGCCAGACCCCCACTTCTCAGCAGCTTCATGACTGGTATGCCGGGCGTGGGGCGTCTGGGGGTCCTGGTCGCTGCCCCTATATCATTCGCGCAGGTCCCCGCGCCGATCGCCCATGCAACGGCTTTCACACTGAGTACTGCTGCTTCGCTCGGCTTAGCGACGCGTGGCGCGCCAAGTTTCCTGACGCTACTGAGTTCCCCTACTGGGCAGACCTGCTTAAGCGTGATGTTCCTATCTTTGATCTTGACTATGATGCAATTCTTGCTGCCATGTATGCATTGACTGTTAGTGCTGAGGGTGAGTGCTACTTGTGTATGCTGCCTGATCCAGGTATGGAGGCTGCAGCCCTAGGTGCTAGTGAGTCTGCTCTCCCTGGTACTGCGTCAGCTCAGGCCTTGCACACCTTTACAATTGACTCTGGTGCTTCCCGCTGTTTCTTTCGCGACAGCACCACAGTCACTCCCCTCCCTACCCTTGTCCCTGTCTCACTGGCTGACCCCTCTGGGGGCCCAGTGCTTGCACGGTCCACTACTGTGCTTCCATGCCCGGCGGTCCCGTCCGGTGAGCTGTCAGGTCTCCACATCCCCTCATTCTCTACAAACCTGGTGAGCAACGCCGTCCTTCAGGATCATTAGGTTGACACCTTTACTCCTGGAGGACAGCGTGTGGCGATCTGCACCTGCTCTAAGACTGGCCGCCACCTGGCCACGTTCAAACGTGAGCCTGGGTCCAATCTGTACACCCTCACCACAGTGTCGCGCTACGTCCCTTTGTCTCCTCAGCTGTATGCGTCCGCTCAGGAAGCCACCCAGTGTGAGTGTCGCCGCCTGTCGCACCAGCTTCTCCTTTGGCACCACCGCCTTGGTCACCCCTCTCTGCCCCGCCTTCGTGGCATGCACTCTCGCTCCCTGGTCTCTGGTCTTCCCAGGTCTCTGCCTGCCCTCCCTCCCTCGCCTGCGCCGCCCTATGCTCCTTGCGTCAAGGGGCGGCAGCGCGCCGCTCCTCATTCTTCGTTCCCTCCCACAGAGGCTCCGCTTTAGACTCTCCACCTGGACGTGTGGGGCCCAGCCCACGTCCAGGGGCAGGGCCGCGAGCGGTACTTCCTGCTGGTTGTCGACGACTATACGCGTTACACCACGGTCTTCCCCTTGCAGCACAAGGGGCATGTCCCTGCTGTTCTGATCCCTTGGATCCACGCTGTTCGTCTCCAGCTCCGCGAGCGGTTCGAGTCGGACTTTCCTGTCCTGCGTCTGCACTCTGACAGATGTGGTGAGTTCACCTCCGACCTCTTGCGGGCTTTTTGTGAGGAGAACGGCATCCGCCAGACGTTCACGCTTCCGGCCTCTCCGCAGCAGAATGGGGTTGCTGAGCGCCGCATTGGCTTAGTCATGGAGGTCGCTCGTACCTCCATGGTCCATGCAGCTGCCCCCCATTTTCTGTGGCCGTTTGCGGTCCGGTACGTCGCGCATCAGCTCAACCTCTGGCCCCGTGTCTCCTTGCCGATGACCTCGCCCACACTGCTGTGGACGGGGGAGGTTGGCGATGCGTCGCAATTCCGTGTCTGGGGTGCTCGTGCCTTTGTCCGCGATACCACTGTGGACAAGCTCTTTGCTCGCGCCATTCCCTGCGTCTTCCTTGGTTTTCCTCTTGACGCACCTGGCTGGCAGTTTTACGACCCCGCCTCACGTCGTGTCTCTGCGTCTCAGGACGTCACCTTTGACGAGTCAGTCCCCTTTTACCGTCTCTTTCCCTACTGCACTGCCCCTCGCCCCCCCCCCGCCGCTCTTTCTCGTTCCAAGTCCTCCCCAGGTAGACCCCCTCCCCGCGCCAGGTCCTTCTCCTTCAGGTGTGTCTCAGGTAGACCCTCCCTTGCGTGAGCCTGTTGAGGTCACTTGTGACTCAGGTCCTGCTGGGGGTGGTCCTGCTCGGGGTGCTGGGCCTGGGGGTGCTGAGACTGGGGGTGCTGACCTTGGAGGTGCTGTGCCTGAGCGTGAGGAGACTGGAGGTACTGCGTCTGGGGTTGCTGCGTCTGGGGGTGCTGAGCCTGAGCGTGAGGAGCCTGGGGGTGCTGAGTCTGGGGGTGCGGCGCCTGAGGGTACTGAGACTGCTGGTGCGCGGTCTCCTTGGAGTGGCCGCCTTCGTCCGCGTGAGCCTCTCTCCCCACAGCAGCTGCATGAGTGGTACGCTCGCCGTCAGGGTCGCGCTACTGGAGCTCGGGGCTCTGCCGTTGGAGGCGCTTCTGCTGACGTCCCTGGAGCTGGGGGTGTTGGTTCAGAGGGTACTGGGGCTGGTGCGAGAGGAGCAAACGACGCTGGAGCCGCTGGGCCTGAGGACGCTGGAGCTGGTGGTATTGCTGCTGGTGGCGCTGGCATTGGAGGTGCTGACGCTGGAGGTTCTGGAGTTGCTGGAGGCGCTGGAGCTACTGATGCTCGTGGCACTGCTTCGCAGCGGCTGTTCTTCTCTCCGCCGTCACCGTCGTCTCTGCCGCCACCTAACACTGTCCTTTGCCAGGTTCTTAGCCTCCCGTCGTCTACTGGCCTCCCGTTACAGCCTGGCTCCCCCCTGCCTGCTCCCTCTCCTCACACTGAGCAGACAGGAGGTCTTATTGAGCGTCGCGAGCCTGCGTCCCGTCCTCCCTCGCCTGTTCGCACTGGTCGCATTGGTCATGTTCCTCGTGAGCGTCCGCCTCCTGTCCCTGGCACGCACATTATGGCACTTCGTCCTTCCTCTGCTCCACAGTGTGTTCCCCTGCCGTCTCCTCCTGCGTCTTCTTTGCCTGACGTTGCGGACCCTGAGTCTGACCAGTTTCGTGCTGCCCACCCTACTGTCATACGTCTGTTAGCCACTGTTGTCACTGACCCGTCGTTTGAGTCTGCCTTGGTCGCTGACCTGGTTGACTTTGCTGCTGGCTGTCGTCTAAACTACACTGCTAGTCCTGTGCTGAGTCTGAGTCTGTCTGTCCTCCGTCCGTCGGGGGTGAGTGTGTTCCCGTCCGAAGGAAAGACTTTGGCTGTATTTAAAACTTGGGCTGTATTTAAAATTTCACGCCCTTTAACCGTATCGCACTCACTCACCCAAGATTTCGCAGTTTCGCATGTAGGCTGTAATTTCATATATCATAACGCTGGTTTGTTTCTAGTGTTTTGAAAGTATGCTATGGTATTTCCCTGTTTTTACCAATAGATGCCATGGAAACCTGCCAGATTCTCTAGGTTATGCACTGAGCGTAAATACACGCTACACGCACCTTTTACACTCACAGAAAGGTGCAAAAAATATATAAATAATAATAAAAAATAGCTGGCTGCAAATTCTGAAAGCCTCTCCAGCATTGCGAAGGGAAGGAGGTTACCGTAGGCTTGTTTGTTACATCCACAACATCCTAGAGTTGAGTTGTGAAGAGCAATATAGACTTGCCCAATTCACTGGCCCAGGAAGAAAACTTTGAGAGCCACAAACAGCGCTGCTTCGTATGCACGTTCCACATCCACTCCCCTTCACCCTCCCCTTCCCCCTCTGTTTTGCCAGACTCCTATCGGCCCCCTGTTGCCCACATGCCCATCCCACTAGCCCAGGAAGAGGACTTGGGCACCTTGAGAGGAGTAACCTCTGTTGCTTCATATGCCCACCCTATCCACATCCGCACCTTCTCCCTCGCCCGTCTCTCTTTTCCTGACTATCGCCCCCCGTTGCCCACATGCCCATTCCACTAGCCCAGGAAGGGGTCTTGGGCACCTTGAGAGGCGCAAACGTCGTTGTCTCGTATGCCCCTTCCGCATCTGCACCCCATTCCCCCTCCTTTCTTTGTGTTGCCTGACTCCTATCGCCCCCCCGTTGCCCACATGTCCATCTCACTGGCCCAGGAAGGGGACTTGGGCACCTTGAGAGGGACAAACCGTGCTGCTTCATATACCCCTTCCACATCCACATCTTCCTCTCCTGCCTCCACCCCCCCCATCCTATCCATCCCTTCCATCATCCCTTTCACACCCCCCCGTCGCATCACATTCACGAGCTCGTTCTCTGCAAAACTCATGCTCTCGCTCATGCTGACAGGGATCACTCCTTTCTCGATATAGTCCCTCCTCCCATCCGTTTTGCTCCTCCGCATAGGCACAACACCAATGTCGCCGTACCCATTACTGTCAAAAGCAGAAGCGCAACCACCACCACCACTAGCAGCAGTGGCAACAGCCGCGGAGGCAACTTCGCTCAACCCATCCCCATCCCTACTCCCCCTTCCCGAGCCTCCCCAGCTGCTTCGGACCCAGCTGCTTACCGAACCTGACAGGCGGCTCCCAGTCTGGGTTCGGGAGAACATACCAGCCCAGGAAGAGGAGAGGGAAGGGGAGGAGGAGAGCGTAGGGGAGGAAACACCTGCAGCCTCGTCAGGGGCAAAATCAAACAGCGAGTCAACTACCCGGGGTAATGGAGAGTTAGCCGGAGCCTTAGCCTCGCCGCTTTTGAGCCGCTGCAGGTGTCTTCTCAGGGAAAAGCGACCCCCTTTGTGGCCGCCGCCGCTGCTGGTGCCACTGCCGCCACTCTCTGTGTATGCCTCTGCTTGGTGCTTCACCTGTGGCAAGAAAGGAACCGCACTGCTACCCTCAGTACCGCACTCAACCTGCATGTCAGCACCACCAACCCCACCAGAAGCGTTCTCGCCTTGCCCGTCCCGAGCGAACAAAGCATCTCGGCTCATCACGGCAGCATGCTCGTTCAGAGACCCGTCTCTGCTCATTCTCCCACCACTGCCATCCAGGCCCAATGCACCCTCCCTCCCATACGACCCATCCCGTCCAAACAAGCCGTCTTGCCCATACGCCCCGTCTTGCCCATACGACCCTTCTCGCCCAAACAGGCTGTTTCGGCTTTCCAAACCCCCCACACTCCCTCCATGAGTCCCCTTCCTCCCAGCATGAGCCTTCAGCACCCTCACTTCCCTGTCCGCCTCTGCGAGTTTGTCCCGACCTCCGCTCGAGCTTCGGCCGAACAGCCTATCTCGGAAGCCTCGGCGCTTGGCTCGGGGGTCGTTCTCAGGTTCGGTTTCAGCCTCGGGCTCCTCCCAGACCTGTGGGTCTGGAGAGAGCGGTTGGACCAGGTCGAAGTGGTAAGCAGTTTGGAAAACAGGTTCGGGGCCAGGTTCGGCAAGGGACAAGGGGGCAAGGGAGGGATGTGGTGAGAAGGGAGGGAGGTGGGTGTAACGCGGTGTGCATGGGTTAGAAGGCAAGCGATTGGGTTGAGTGCGGCTGCGACTCAAAGGGGGGTAGCTAGGTACATCCTCCTCCTCTTCTAAATCCGCCTCCTCTATTCCCTCACATACCACCCCTCTTGCTCTCAGCCTACCCTCTCCTACACTCTTGCTCCTCCTCTCTAACCCTCGTTGCTCTCCTCCACACTCACTCCCCCCTCCAACCTCCCTACCCTTTCCATCTTCCTTCTCCCTTCCCCCACCCTCCACACCTCCCCCACTCCCCCCCTCAACACCTGTCTTGCTCTCGGCAGCTTTTCTCGCAGCAGCACGCTCCCTCGCCCTTCTCTCCCGCATAACCCTAATCTCCCTCTCCATCTCCCTCAGTGCCTCCTTCTCTCTCACCCTCTGCTGCTTCTCCCCTCCCTCCTCCTCTCCCCCTCCCTGCCTCCGCTTCTCGTCTGCTGCTCTCTGCGACCCCTGCCCCCTTCCCCCTTCCACTCCCCTCCCTCTCCCCTCCTCTATTCCACCTCGTGTGACTGCTTCACCCGTCCCTTTCCTCCTCCCTTTCCCTCCATCCTCACTTCTCCTGGGCTTGACGGGTTGAGTTGAGCCAATCTCCCCTTTCGCCCACTCTCTCTCCATCAGACTAGTCCCTCTGGGCGTGCGAGCAGGCATAGAGGCCTGTCTATGAGGCTGCTTGTGCCTCTCCCCCTGCTGCATCTGCTCCCTCCCCTCAACGGTGTTCTTAGCAAACATATCTGCAGTCGGGGCTGCATCTGTTTCTCTCTCTCCCTCTGCTGCGGCTCTTCCTGCAGCAGCTGACAACACTTCTAGTGCTGCGGCTTTCGCTGCTGCGCGTTCCCTCCGACTCATTGATCTCTGCAGCAGTAATCTCACCCGATTGCTCGGCTGCTGCCCTTCCTCCTGCTGCCCCTCTTCCTCCTGCCTCTGTTGCTGCTGCTGCTGTCTCTGCTTCTGCATTTGCTGCTGCTTCTGCTGCTGTGACCATGCCTCAATACGGCTACCCAACCCCCCTTGCACACTCACAGCACGGCGCAACCTTGTCCCCTCCACCGCCTCTCTCCCTCCCACAGCATCGTCTCCTCTCAATCCCCCGTCTCCCTTCCCCACAACCCCATCTCGCCCCGCTCCTCTTCCCTCACCCACCCGCTTTTGAGTTGACTCAGAAATCAGCCCATCCTGCCCCCGCCCCCCTCCGCTACGCGCAATCCCCCTTCTATCTGATTTTGATCGCACCAGCGGTTGACCCGAGTCAACCCTCTCCTCCTCCCACGCAGATATGACATCCCTGATTGATGCAGGTGGCTTTTGAGATTTCTCAGAAACCTCACGTCCCCGTCCTCTCCGCCCCGCCGCCCTCTTTTCAGACTTTGACCGCACGAGTGGTGGACTCGAGTCAACCTCCTCCTCCTCCTCCTCCTCCCGGGCAGATGTGAAACTCCGGGCAGGCGCTAATTTTTCAAACACGCTGGGAGCGAAACCTAGTGGAGGGGAGGAGCCGGTAGGAGGGGAGCACTTGGCATTGAGCACACGCGCACCAGCACTAGCAGCACTGGCATCACTTGATTGCACCACCACGCACCCTTCCCGCCCAATCACATCCTCCTCATCCCCAAACACGTCCCACGCATTCAGCCGCTTCTTCCGCCCCCGCTCCCTCACGCTCCCTCCTTGCCTCGCCACACCCCCTTTAGCTGCGCTTGCAAAGGGTGTCCCTAAAAAGGGTTGTTCTGCTGAGGGTTGCTCTGTGCAGGATTGGTCTGTTAAGGGCAAGAGGGAGCGGGAGAGGAGGCGTTCCGTGGAGGAGGTTTTTGATCGCCGCATGCAGTGCCGCCCTCTGCTCCTCGTGCTCGTACTGCTGGCAGCTTCTGTTTTGAGAGGCTCGAAAACTGAAGTGCTGCAGGCAGCTTCTGTTTTGAGAGGCTCAAAAACTGAAGTGCTGCGGGCAGCTTCTGTTTTGAGAGGCTCGAAAACCGAGCTGGTGCGGAAAGGTGAGCTTCTGCTTTCGTCTGACTGCGCTTGCATCTGCTGCTGCTGCTGCTGCTGCTGCTGCGTTTGTGACTGTGACTGTGACTGTTGCTGCTGCTGTTTCTGTGGCTGCTGCTGCTGCATCAGCCCCTGCTGCTTCCCTCGCTCCATCCTCCCTCTCGTTGTCTCTGCTCGCGTCAGCTCCCCTGCTTGCACCTCTCCCGCACCACCCAACTCCCGAACCAAAACTCCTTTCCCAGGGGAGGGTGGCGAAGAGCCGAGCCTCTGATTAGAGGAGGTTCGGGATCGCCGCATTTGATAGCTTCGCCCACTTCCCTTTCTCTCGGCAGCAGTGGCAGCACCAGCAGCAGCAACACCTGCAGCAGCAGCACCACCAGCACCAGCAGCAGCACCAGCAGCAGCACTAGCAGCAGCAGCACCAGCAGCAGGTGTACTGCCTTTCAGCCTTGGGCCGGTATGCACTGCAACTTGCTGCCCTTTCTGCCCCTTCTGCTGCCCCTGCTGCTGCCCCTGCTGCTGTCCCTGTTGCGTCGTCTGCTGCTCCCCCCGCGTTACCTGCACTTGCTCGACTCGCCCTCTCATGGTCTCCACTCGTCGCATCACCACAGCATCGTGCTGCTGCTCCCCACCTGCTGCACCCCCACTACTTGCACCACCCATCACACCCTCCCCCCGCATGGTCTGCACTCGTCGCATCGCCACACCTGCATGCTGCTGCTGCTCCTCCCCACCCACCATCGGACCCACAACTCGCTCCTCATATCTTTCCTCCGCACCCCCCTTGCCCATCTCACTCAGTTCAGAACCACTCCTTGCTCTCACTCTCATACCCCCATCCCCTCTCGCACCACCCCCTTTTCCACCCTCCACCCCTCTCGCACCTTCCATTCCTCTCCCAACCCCTTTCCCACTCTCACCTCCCATCCTCCTCTCACCACTCCTCACACCCTCCCCTCGCAGTGTCTCTGCTCGTCTCATCTCCACAACCTCCCCCTCGCCCATTCTATCCAGCTCGGACCCGCTTCTCACTCTCATCCCCATCCCTCCCATCCTCTTCTCACCCCCCGATCCTCCCATCCCTGCAACACCCCTCGCCTCATCCTGCCCTCGCAGCCCCTCACCTCGTCTCGTCCGCACACTCTCTCCTGTGCCTATCCCCCCACTCTCCCTTAGCCTCGCACCTTCACTCTCCTCCTCCCCAGAGCTGCCTATGCTTATGCTCCTGCTCCTGCTCCTTTCTCTAAGCGTTGCTCCGCGTCCTGTGCCTATCCCCCCACTCTCCCTTAGCCTCGTGCCTTCACTTTCCTCCTCCCCTGAAGTGCTCCTGCTTCTGCTCCTCCAGGTACCATCTCCCACATCAGCAGCCGCAGCAGCAGCAGCAGCAGCAGCAGCAGCAGCAGCAGCAGCAGCACCGCCACCACTACCACCACTCTTCCCCCGCCTCATCCCCTCACTCTCCTCCCCTGAAGTGCTCCTGAGTCTGCTCCTCCAGGCACCATCTCCCATATCAGCAGCAGCAGCAGTAGTAGCAGCAGCAGAAGAACCAACACCGCTCTCCCCTGGCCTCATCATCCCCACACTCTCCTCCTCCCCAGAGCTGCTTATGCTCCTGCTCCTTTCTCTTCTCGTTGCTGCGTGTTGCTTCCCCGGACTCGGCGCTAATGACGTTGCACGGACGTCCACACCCTCCCCTCGCCTCGCCCCCACACTGTCCTCCTCCCCAGGGCTGCTTATGCTCCTGCTCCTGCTCCTGCTCCTTTCTCTATGTGTTGCTGTGTGTGCGACTCTCCCCGGACTTGGCTCTAGAATCGTTGCACACACATCCACACCGCAAGGAGACACCATCGCAGGAGACACGTTATACGGGGAGACACTGTGAGGAGAGACACTATAAGGAGACACGCTGTGAGGAGGCATGCTAAAAGGAGACACGCTATAAGGAGACACATTGTGAGGAGGCGGCAGACAAGATGGGGACACACTGTAATGAGACACACTGTAAGGAGACACACTGTAAGGAGACACACTGTAAGGAGACACACTGTAAGGAGACACATTGTGAGGAGAGACACTGTGGGGAGACAGGCGGACAGGAGGGAAACCAGATGGGGACACACTGTGAGGGGAGAGACTGGAAACACTCTTTCCCCATCGCTTAATTAAGCACTGCTCCTGCTCCACAGAATCATTCTGAGCCGCAGGATCTGCTTGGATTGATCTGGACCGTCCATGAAGCGTGTCCGCCCGCCTCAAACCCCCCATTTCGCCCTGAGAGAGTAAATCCACTGAAATGGACCTCGCCCTCCCTCTGAGCGTCTCTGCTCGGCGCATCTCCCGATAATCTCCCCCATTCTGGATCGTTGGATCCACATGGGTGGGTAACGCCTTGGGTTCGCCCTGAGAGAGTAAATCCTCCGAGTTTTGAGACGTCTCAAAACTCTGGGGTTCGCCCTGAGAGGGTAAAATCATTGAATTGGATCTCGCCCTCCCCCTGAGCGTCTCTGATCGCCTCATCTCCCGATAATCGCCTTTCATCTGAACCGTCGGATCCACATGCATGGTTCCCGTCCATCCTCTCAGAGTCTCTGCTCGCCGCATTTCGATTGGCTGGTGCTGCTGCTCCGTAGCACCACCCAATAGGTCTGATCTCACGCTCCCTCTCACTGTCTCTGCTCGCCTCATCTCCAGCCTGCTTTGAATCTGAACTGTCGGATCCAACTGGGCAGATCTTGCCCGCCCTCTGAGCGTCTCAGATCGCCTCATGTCCCGGTAATCGCCTTTAATCTGAGCCGTCGGATCAACTTGCATGGTTTCAGGCCTCCCTCTCAGCGTCTCTGCTCGCCGCATTTCAACTGGCTTCTGCTGCTGCTGCTGCTGCTGCTGCTGCTGCTGCTGCTGCTGCTGCTGCTGCTGCTGCTGCTGCTGCTGCTGCTGCTGCTGCTGCTGCTGCTGCTGCTGCTGCTGCTGCTGCTGCTGCTGCTGCTGCTGCTGCTGCTGCTGCTGCTGCTGCTGCTGCTGCTGCTGCCGCTGCCACTGCTGCTGCTCTAAAGCACTACCCCTCAAGTCTGACCCCCGCCGCCCTCTAAGTGTCTCTGCTCGCCGCATATCAACTGGCTGTTGCTTCTCGACAGCACTATCCTTAGAGTAGGATTTAGACGCTCCTCTGAGCGTCTCGGCTCGTCTCATTTCCACCACCTGCTGCTGCTGCTCTGCAGTCGCAACAGCAATACCCCGTAGGTCGAATCCTTTGCTAGACTGACCTCTCAGCGTCTCGGCTCGTCTCATTTCCACCACCTGCTGCTGCTGCTCTGCAGCCGCAACAGCACTACCCCGTAGGTCCATTCCCCTGCTGGAATGCCCTCTCAGTGTCTCGGCCCGCCTCATGCAAACAGACTGCTCCTGCTGTGCGTTTCCTGCTGGTGCCTCCAAACGTGTCTGAGAAGCTACGGGTTCTGCTGCCCCTTCGTCCATAAGAGACCTGGAACGAGTTCTCAGTGTCTCGACCTTTCGCATTGCCACGGGAATCGCACTCTCAGCAGAAGCAGCCGCGGCAGCGGCGGCGGAGGTGGCGGCACCGGCAATAGCAGTGGCATTACTAGCATGGGCGAAGGGGTCAGAAGTGCAATCATCAACGAGTGATCTGGAACGGCCTCTTAGTGCTTTCCCCTCTTGGCGTTTCGCTGCTACAGCAGAAGACGAAGAAGCAGTGGTAGCAGAGGTGGGAGTAGGAGGGACAGCAGCAGATGAGGTGCAAGACGAAATGGCAGAAGCACCAGCACCATCAGAGGCAGCAGCAGTGCTGAAAGTCACCACCCGAGATGCCTCCCCACCTGAACCCGGAACACCATGATAGCTGCTGGACCTGCACTGAACAACCCTCGACCTCCCTGCTCTTGCACCCTGCCCCTGCTGCTCCTGCTGCCCCTGCTGCCCTTGCTGCCCTTCCTGCCCTTCCTGCCCTTGCTGCTGCTGCCCCTGCTGCCCCTGCTGCAACTGCAGCTGCTGCGAGGGTTGCTGCTGCTGCTGCTGCTGCTGCTGCAAAAGCAGCTGCATTCCTGCACCCTTTCTCCCCATCCTCCCTCCTCTCTCCCCCACTACCACTACCCTCTCTCTCCCCTCCTCTCCTTCCTCTCCCTCTCTCTTCTTGATCCTGGGGGAACTCTTGCTCCTCCTCATACCAGTAACAGGGTAACCAGGGCTCCGACCCGAGCTGCCTTGGTTCGGGGCCTCAGGCTCGGCAACCCCCCAGCCTGGGCCACTGGTCTGGTTCGGTGTAACAGGTACGGAGGCTCCCGAGCCTGGCTTCTTGGCTCGGGGGAGGGGAGAGCGGGGTGGGAGCCTGTGGGATGCTGGAACGGGGGAGATGCTGTTCCCAGCGGTTAGGGGCCTGCAGAGGGGTTTTCGGGGGGAAAGAGGGAGGGGGATTGGAAGGGAGGGGGGGGGGGGGGGGGGGGGAGGGGGGGGGGGGGGGGAGGGGGGGAGGTATATTGATGTGGGAGCCTGTGGGAAGCTGGAAGGGGGGAGGCGGTGCTTCCAGCGGATAGGGGCCTGCCAGGGAGGGTTGGGGGGACGGGGAGAGGGGAAAGAGGGGAGAAGAGGAAAAAGGGGGCGGGAGGTCAGGGGGGAGGGAGAGCGGGGTGGAAACCTGTGGGTTGCTGGAAGGGGGGAGGCGTTGCTCCCAGCAGATAGGGGCATGCAAGGAAAGATTGAGGGAGGGGGTTAAAGGGGGATTGGGGGAAAGGCGGGAGGAGGGGAGAGCGGGGCGGAAGCCTGTCGGAAGCTGGAAGGGGGGAGGCACTGCTTCCAGCAGTTGAGGGCCTGCAGGGGGGTGTTTGGGGGGAAGCGGAGAGAATGAGGGCGAGAGAAGGGGGGGGGAGTGGCGGAAAGAGGGCTGGAATGGAAAAGGGAAAGGGAGAGGCGCTGCTTCCAGCGGTTAGGGCCCAGAGCAGGGTTTGTGGGGAGAGGGGGTGAAGGGGGTTGAAGGAGCGGGGGAAGAGTGGGGAGAAGGGGGGAACAGGAGAGGACGGGGAGAGGCGCTGCTTCCAGCGGTTAGGGGCCTGCAGGGGATAATTAGGGGGGGTAGGGGAAGGGAGGGGGGGGAAGTGGGGAAAGGGGGTTGGGACGAGAGGAGGATGCGGGGAGCGTCCAGCAAATAGGGGCCTGAGGATGATTTTGAAGAGGTTGGGGGAAGGAGACCGGGGTAGGGAGAGGTGAAGAGGGTTAACAGGGGGAGGAAAGGGAAAAAGGGGGTGAGGGATGGGGGGAGCCGCTGCTTTCTCAAGCGGATAGGGGGCCTGCGTGAAAGTTTGGGAGGGTGAAGAGGGGGGGGAAGGGGTGAGGGGTTTGGGTGCGGTGAGGGAGTAATGGGGAAAGTCGCTGCTTCTGTTCACCCACCCTATCCCATTGCAATCAGTTAGTTTCTGAAAATACTCAAATCTGACTCCAACTATGACGACTCCACCACCCACACACGAAAGAAGAGTGTTTTTGAGGCGTTTCAAAAACACTCTTCTTTCACGTTTCCGAGAATACTCCGATTTCACTCCAATTATGTGTCTTTTGAGTCGACTCAAAAGTCAGATTCAACTCCAACTATGACGACTCCACCACCCACCCACGATAACCACCACCACCACCACCGCCCATGCACATCCTCCCTTGACCCCATCCCATGGAACTCACATAAAACATTTCTCTTCAGCCTCTGCGCCCTCCAATCTGCCCTCTTTCCCTCTGGTCTGCATCCCATTGGCCTGCCACTGAGGCTTTTAAAATGTCCCAGGAACCACCACCACCGTTCATCCACATGGAACTGATTTTTCCATTTTTTTTGGATTCTCAAAAAACTCACACGTGATATTCCTCGTCAACATTTGCACCCTCCAGTCTGCCCTCTTGCCCTCCGGTCTGCATCCACATGGAACTGATTTTTTTTTGGATTCTCAAAGAACTCACATTAAATGTTCCTCGTCGTCAACATATGCGCCCTCGTGCCCTCTTGTCTGCCAAGCGCTGCTGCTGCCGCCGCAATCTCTTGCGCCATTACCATCCCTCGCATCCTCCCTTGACCCCCCTCCATCGCCCTCCTCCATGCCTTCCCCCACCCCCCTGCCTTCCGCCACCCCCCTGCCTTCCCCCACCCCCCTGCCTTCCCCCACCCCCCTGCCTTCCCCCACCCCCCTGCCTTCCCCCACCCCCCTGCCTTCCCCCACCCCCCTGCCTTCCCCCACCCCCCTGCCTTCCCCCACTCCCCTGCCTTCCGCCACCTCCCCCATCTTCTCCTCCATCATCCCCCCCATCGTCTCCCCCATCATCTCTCCCATCGTCTCCCCCATCATCCCCCCCTCCTCAATAAACGCCGAGTGATGCCACTCGCGCCACGTAGGCGAACAAAACTCCGCCTCGTCCTCCTCCTCTCCCTCCTCCCCCACTTCATCTTCACCCTCATCTTCCTCTCCTTTCTCTCCTTCCTCTCCTCTGCCCATCCCCCTCTCCCCTCTCCATCCCTCCCACCCTTCCCCCCTCCACCCCCTCTCCCCTTCCCCATCCCCCCCCTCTTCGCCAACCCACCCGTCCTCATCAAACCCTCTTCTTTCCCATCTCAATCCCTGCTGATATTCCCCCTCGTCCTCCTCCCCTCCCTTCAAAAACATTACCTCCTCCTCCCCAATCTCCTCCTCCCCCTCCTCGCCAATCTCTATCCCCTCCCAATCCATCCCACAGCTGGGACCAGGCGAAGGACTTGGGGAGGGCACTTCTAGAGATAGCACCTGCGCCCTTCCAGTTGCGCCTCCCCCAGATAGCACCTGCCCGCGTTCTGCCGCCCTCCCCATGAAGACCACCTGCGACCGTGGCGCAGGCGGTTCGATAAACAGCACCTCTGGTGGATGCTGAGTCAGCACCTGCTGACTCAGCACATGCTGAATCGGCACCTGCTGAGTCAGCACCTCTGGATCTCTCGTCTCGAAGGATAGCTCCTCCTGCGTTTCGCCTCCTCCTGGGCTCACCACTCCACCAGACCGTCTTTTAAAACTACCTGCACCAGATCTACCTCCCCCTGGGCTGACCCGTGCAGCACTCGTACTGGATCTACCTCCCCCTGGGCTTGCCCCTGCACCTGCATCAGATCTACCTCCCCCTGGGCTTATCCCTGCACCAGCATCAGATCTACCTCCCCCTGGACTTACCACTCCATTACCTCCCCCTGCTGCTCCCGGACTGGCTCCCCCACCTCCCCCTCCCCTTCTCCTTCCCCCTCCCCCTCCCCCTCCGCCTCCCCCTCCCCCCGGACTAACCACAGCCGCGGCCCCTACAGACGGAGTAGGCGGACGGCCCCCCCGCCTCCCCTTCCCCCTGCCCCCCTTCCGCCCCGGAGTGGCCACAGCAGCAGCAGTGCCGGGGGCTCTTGGGGTGGTAACCGCCATGGTGGTGAGCGGTACCATGCGGTTCTGCATGGTGTGGGACCTTCGGGTGAACAACGCGGAAACGACTATCCCTGCTGCTACTGCGTCTGCTGGTGACGAGTCGGATGCGGCTGACGTGTCACCTGCTGCTGATGCTGCCAGCTCAGCAGCTGCCAGGTCAGCAGCCACGTCAGCACCAGAGACAATCTGAGCTTCAGCCCGCCATCTGTGCTCCCTTCCCCTTTCTCTCCCGGCCTCCCCTCTCCCTCCTCTCCCTCCCCCTCCCCCTACAGTCACACTGCTACAGTCGCTGCCATAAGATTCGGTTCGGGAAAAGGTGCTGCCAAACGTGCTGTCGAAGCTACCAGGTGGGCTCGGGGAGGAAAGCACAACTCGTCCGGACAAGGTTTGGGACCTCCGAGCCTGAAACGCAGCCTTGACTGTTGCCATTTCCCCCTCTGCTTCCCCCTCTGCTCCCCTCTCCCTCCCCTCCTCTAATCGCCCCGTTGCTTCCGCTTCCCCTTCCCCTTCCCCTTCCCCTTCCCCTTCCCCTTCCCCTTCCCCTTCCCATTCCCCTCCCCCGTCCCCCTCCCCGCTCCCCCTGTCCCATCCGCGCAGCTCCATAGACGCGCTGCTGGCGGTAGCCGCGCGCACGAACCTCCGCCGATGGCCCCCCGACCGGCTGTAGCGCGGCGCGCTGCTGCTAGAACTCCGCGCTACAGCCGCCGCAGCTGTAGCGTCGTTAGCTACTACAGCGGCGGCCGCGCTGTCACTCCTGGGTACTACAACCGCCGCAACGCCAGCGGCGGCCCCGCCGCCGCACGCTCCCCGAGCGACCGCGTTTGTAGCAGATCCGTTTGAAGCATATTCGCTTGTCTCAGTAATTCGGCTCTCAGGCGTCGCACTGACGGCGGTATCCGTAACGTCGTAGTTGGTTGTCGATCCTGAGCTACTAACGGAGACGCCACTATCGGGGACAGTACCAGCAGACTGATGCGCCTGATGCGACTGCCCCGCCACCCCCGCACCAAACCCATTCTGCTGCAGCGCATCCCGACCGTCCAATTCTATCCCCTCACCATCGCCACTGTCCATCTTATCCACCCACTTAGCTAGTCTTCCTGCTTCCGCCGCCTCCCACACGTCTTGAATTGGCGCCTCAGGGAGACAGTTAGCATCCGCGCTCCGGCTCGTTATCCGCTGCACAAACTGCCTCCGCCGAGACACGTGCCCCTTCCGCGCATCGTCCTTGCGCGCTCCCCCTTTCCGTGCATCTTGCACCGATCCCTGCGCTTCGCCGCGTGCCTTCCCCTGCGACGCCTTCAACTGTCCGTTCCGAGGAACTTCCGCCTCCTGCGCCGCGGGCCATCCTTGCGCGTCGCCGTGCGCTTGTGCTTGCGCTTCCCCCTGCTGCGCCTGCGCGCCCTGCCAGAGCGACAGTTGGCGCACCCACTCCAGGTGATGCGGGGACTTGGGACGCAGCGCCGGGGGACCCTCGCGGAGCGGGCGCTGCTCTGCGGGGCGCTGTTCCGAGGGGGATTTGCGCGCCTGTTCCACAGAAGACTTGCGCGGGAGGAATGAGGGGAGCGACGTCTTGCGCTCGAGGAGGGACGAGTGACTCGGCGCGGGGCCGACGGAAGAACACGCGGGGATGGCGGAAGGAAGGACCGCGGCGGTCTTTGGGCGTTCTAGCGGAGCGCCGCGCTCCTCCTTGCTGCTGCTGCGGAGCAACGGCAGATGCAGGATGCGAGGCATCGCGGACGGCTAGCCGGAAACTATCGTAAGAATTGCCAGGCGTTAAAGCCGGCCGTCACGGATAATGGTACCAGCGGAGACCTTTACCGGCCTTGACTTAATTTGTATCGATTCCGTGAATCCTTTCTCCCAATCTGTCACGCTAAGTGCCATTGTGATTGCGAAAAAAATAGCGCGTTACATGCTTTGCTGGAAAGCGCTGAAAGGGCGGCTTTTACTCGTTCAGAGCATCAGAGTTTTTCTGGATATCCGCCATTACATAATTATATCATTCTGTCGAGCAGACTCGGCAACGTCGCGGTCCAAAACTGCGCTAACCGACGGCTTCTAGGAGCACGACGACAGTCGTGACGTGATTCTAGTCAAAGCTTGGCTTGTCCGATACAAACGTTCGCATCAACACCCTGTGACCGCTACGCCAGCTTCGCAAAGACAGAAACTTCATCAGTCGTACACAGAGCAGGCACACAAAATGAAGCGAAGGCAGGGACAGAAGCAAACAGGTTGGTTTGGTTGGAGAAGTTAGCGTCACAAGGGGAGCTCCGACAAGGACGCATTCCAGGCCTCGTAACAAGTGAAAAAATTCTGCTTCAGCCGTCGCACACACCAAAGTTCCAAGTTGTGAAATCGCGTCACGGAATACGGAATTCTGTCGTAGAGAGTCGTAAACCTGTCGTCTGGTACGATTTGCCTGTTCGTAACAAGTAGGAATGCGCAGTTGGGTTTCTGTGCTGTGTAGAAGAATCAGGGAAGGTCCTACTTATTTCAACTGTACGCGACTGTACATGATTTTGTGTTCCAAGGTGCAGATTCGAATTCTTTTGCAATTTTGTGTGTGAAGATCAGTGTACACTGTACTAGGCACACCAGCACCAGTGATTCCAAAAATTGGACAGTCGATAACGTTCAATGTCGTGCATTTGTCCGTTGCCTTGAAATTGGACGTGGGTGGCATTCTCTGAAAGGACCCGCATAATCTCCAGGATAATGCCACAGTGTGTCAACCACCGCCTGGTTGCTTGTGGCCCACAAAAGGTTCAATAGCCGATTATATACACACGGGTGACGTCATCACATGCCGCCCCGCCCGCCCTGGCACATTCGAAATTCGGGCCAAACCGAAAAACCCGCGGAATCCCTCCGGGCCCCCGAAATTCCCCGGCTGACCAGGCAAAAAAAACCCGCCGAAACCCGCGGGTTCAATGTCGTATTCTTATGCCAATATATATGTCGGCCGTACTGTTGCAATTTCGGGGACATTTGTCGAACAGTGCTCGACGGACATCGGCCAATCGCCGTCGAGCACCGTGCACCCCCGACGACACTGGTTACACCCCGTGGCAAGTCGCCAGGGAATCGCCTACACGGTGGCGCCGACGGTCGACGGTCGCGAAACGTGTTTCGCAACCGGCCGACGGTCGAGCAAACTGTCGCTGTCGGATGGGCGACGGGTCACGTCAGTCGCAGTCAAGCGGTCACGTCAACTGCTGACTGCTGTCTCAGTCTCCACGGGGAGCAACATCAGCCCAATGTCGCTATATAGACCTGAATTCATAGTACAAGCACCACTGTTTCCTCAGCACGCCAGGATTTAGGGAGAATTGGTAGCTTTCGGTGGGCACTGATGGAGACCGATCCGTCGACGACAGCGCCTTCCCGGGAGGCGGACGTAGGACGTATACCTGTCGAATTGGAGTCCACATCGACACGACCCCCTTCGCCGTCTAGAGACAGGCCCCCTTCGACGACGCAAGCCATACCGGAGGTGGCAGCGCCCACCTCGACGTCGCGAGCCATACCGGTAGTAATACAGCCGGTCGTTACGGACCCACGTTCGACGGGTATTCCGGTCACTGTTGAAGTGGGTGGTGCACAGACCGAATTCCCTTCGACAGGTGAATCCATACTTGTTGTCGTAGAACCCATCTCGACAACAAATGCCCCCTTTACACACGAGGCTCCAGCTCACCGTGCACCATCGTCGACAGCCCACCGCTCGACGGAACCTTCGGCTGGTGCACCGACCTCGACAGTTGGGCGACGTAGGAGAGCGACGGCTGTTCCGCCTGAGGTTCGCCAACCACACCCAGCCGGTACATCCGCTTCTCGAGCCGACCCCGCCGCTCGTAGGCGCACTTCGACGAGACCAAGCAGAGAGGACTTGGCCAGGAACGTCCCTGAAGCGACGGACGATGAGGATGTTCGGACGGGAGAACAGCAGGAGGCGGACGATGTCGAACCGCCGGACCCTCTGCGGCCTGCTGCGGCAAATATATCAGAGGAGGATGCCGCGCACATTCTCGGCGACCAACCGGGCGCAGACAATCCGTACTTGGCGACCGGAACACTTAAAAGCAGGATTCTCCGGTGTGAGGTTCCGCTGCTGGGAGTTGACCAGGATTCCACACGGCCGAACTATGTCTCTGGAAGCATGCACTACAAAGCTTGGGCCTGTAAAATTCTGGCACCCGAGAGAAGCAACGGAGTGCCTAAAGAGGAGCAGGTGACCTACGAGGACGAGATCGGTATGGAGATCGGCGACGATATGGGGCCGAGATGGAGGGAGGCGCTGCGTAACGAGGAGCACCTGCATGGGCCGAAAATAACGAAATGGCGCTTGCGCGCGTACGTCGAATACATGTCGACTGAAACCGACCAACAGGCGGCATCGTTGGACACAGGCCGGTCCAGAGTCGCTGGAAGGAAGGCAAAAAAAAGCACCCCTCCGATGATGCTGGCGCGCCTCACTGCGCTGACGTGCTTCTGCAGAGTAGAGGCCATACTCTTCGACGAGCCACTAACGAAGCCTTTGGACGACATCACCGAGGCCCGGCAGCTTCTTGCGGTCAAGCTGCGGCAGCTGCACGACTTTCAGTTCGAGTAAGTAGGCTCCCATGCACCAGACTCTAAAACTCACCGCTCAAATTCTCACCCAAGTACTCGCTGTATCTGCCCACCCAATGCAGGCAGTGCGTCGATCCACACCGGGGCTCGCTCGACGATGTTTACACGGAGGAGCAGTTCCGCATTCTCGTTTCAGACATCCTGCCGTACTGGGCCAAAGAGTACTTTCGGGAGTCGATGAGTTACCCCAGTCAGTCGCTGTGGAGGGCCTTGGCCGTGAGGGTGATGATCCTGATGGCGCATCACATGCTGGGCAGGGGGATAAGCATCCGCGAGATCCGCTACTGCAATATGTTCACTCACGTCCTTCCGCCCATCACGAACAGCAAGGGGGAATCGTCGATCCACGTTCTCGTGGTCGCCTATCGCAACTCGAAGACCATCAAAGACAACAAGCTCGGCCACCTGTACCTGACTCGACACATGGACTTCCGGCAGTGCGGCTTCGGAGCAGTGTTCATGTGGATACATTTCATTTTCGACCTTGTGCCGCTCCACTACAACAACGATAAGATCGTGCCCCCCTTGGATTTCAGCAACCCGGAAAACTGGTCAAAAAAGCACCTGTTCTTCGCCCTCTTCGACAGGGATAAGACCGAGTTGCCGTACGCGACTCATGCCAAATGGGTTACCTGGGCGATGAAAAGCGCGGAGTGGATCCTGTCGAAAGTCACACATATTTTTCGACGGTCTGCGGCACAGATCCTCGCCGACAAAAACTGTGAACTCGACAACATCGCGCAGCTGGGTCAATGGGACATGAACGAGATGCGCAGGTCATACGTCACAGGCATCCCGCGAGGGGCCATCCAGCTGCAAGCGGGTTTCACGACGGAACCCGGTGACTATTACCTTGGAAGATCGAAGACCGAAATACCCGCGAAGGTCCTGAAGGCTATCGAGGAGCACATATTTCCAAAGGCGGAGCAGTGGCTCGACGAGGTATGGATGCGTCGAGCGCTTTGCGTGATCATCGAATGCAAGTTTTTGCATTCGATCTATCTCTCAATGTCACCACGTTTGTTCTTGTTCAGGCGATGGAATGGAACAACGAGCAGGACAAGGAGCATATGTTCTTCGCAGCGAAAAGTTTCTTGAAGGCCCTGCAAGTCGCCCGAATGCCCATCGCCGAGGATCTTGCGATGTACTACGTCCATTGTGACGACCACCCCTTCGACGGAGTGACTGTTTGCGACTGCGAGCGTCACCCTTATGTACAGATGTCCGGTTTGTGCAAGGACATGGATTTCAAAAAATGGGCGCTTGACGTGTACCTGCTCGACAAGTACGGCATCGAGATGCGGACCAACCCCACACTGTCGAGAGCCTCTGTAAGATGGCCCTTATAAATTTTAATCCGAACAGATTGCATCAGCCCACTTACCTACCGCTCGTGATCTTATGCGCAGGACGCATCCTTTCAACTCAACACCAAGCACCTCATCACGCAACTTCGGGCAGAGGTAAACTTACACAAGGAGGAGGGAGGGAAAAAAGAAATCAAGATCAAGGGCCTCGAGCAGAAGGTCGAGTCATTGGAGCAGGAGAAGGCCGCGATGCAAGCGGAGTTGGAGGCGAAGGCAGAAGCACTCGCTCTACTGCAGAAAGCGTTCGACGCACTGAAGATTACCGCCGCGACAACCGCAGCTGCGAATGTAGGGGGGAGCGAGAGTGTGCCGCAGACGGCGACCGAAGAAACCACCCCGCCACCACAGCAGCCCCCTCAATCAACACCCACTCAACAGAGCAAGGGCAGCCAGCTCGACCAAACATTCTTCGACGCAGTGGTGTGGCCGTGGTGCACTTGCGAGACCGTGCAGCAGGCGTGGTCGTACTGGGACGGGCCCAGCCCGCTGAACGACGGACACAGTCTTCGACACGCTTACAGGAGGGGTTTCGCCGTCAAGTACAGCAAGTTCACTCCGACTCCTCCCACCGTTCCACCCGGTGCGGTGGACCAGCCAGCAGAAAAGCCACCGACCCCAAAAGCTGTCGAGTCGAGATTGCGGAAGATGGAGGTTGTCATGAGGGCCGTCGAGATGTTCAGGGTCGATGATAGCAGGGCGGCTACGTCGACGATCATTGATAAGCTTGAC